CAATTTGGAATCCCTTTTGAAAGGTTGCAGTCCTCCGTAAATACCGCTAAGTTAGTTACCGTTGATCTGCCCGGGATAAATCCATGTTGATTAGGACATAACACGTGCTTAGTAGCACAGTATATTTTGTCTTTCACGATACATTCGAACAGCTTAGAGACAGAAGTGAGCTTGGAAATCGGCCTACAGTTTGCTATATAATTTTTATTACCCCTTTTGAGAAACGGCGTAATGAAAGCCAGTTTCCAGTCGTCGAGAAACATCCCATCAGCCAATGACATATTAAATATATGTCTCAAAGGCTCGATAAGAGAGGGGCAGCTTTTTAACAAGATAACTGAGAGGCCAGCGGCGTCAGTATTAGTGGAATACTTTAAATCACTTATGCCATTAACAATATGCTCATAAGACAAAAATAAGTTACTGGATGCCAGTAGGTAACTCAAAAAATTCAATTTCCAACCCTAATGGAGTATGGTGCTGATTTGGAGGAGAGATGTAACTAGATGCATTCGAAAGCTTGAAGTTAATATTATAGCTAACAAAAATCAAATCCAAAATTCGGCCTAATTCGTTAAAAAACCATTGACTTGACATAATTCAATGCATAGCAGATTATCAATAAAATTTGATTCCAAAATACTATTAACGTTAAATGGAGTAAGAAAATTATTATTATCTAAATAGCTCCAGGAGATATTGTTCAAGTTAAAATCGCCAAGAACGCAGAGTTGACTATCACCTATTTTCGCTTGAAGTTCAAGAATGTTGTCAACATGGGCCTTATACAAATAATCAGAGCTGCCCGGTGGAATGTATGACACACCACATGCGCCCTGTAGCTTTACACATATCTGGTCCAAGATAGAGTTTTCATCGAGGAGCGGAGAGAAAGCAGCCCGAAGATGGCGACGGGTAGCTATTAATACACCACCCCCCCTACTTACACCGGCTTTAGCGTAATCTCTGTCCTTGCGGAAGACTTCAAACAGGGCCGGATCAAAGAATTCTGCATCAAAAAAGTTTGAATTGAGCCCAGATTCAGTTAATCTGAAGCAGTCGTATTCCAATTGCGAGCTTAAAATGCGACCTATGTTATTCGACATGCTGAATGCGAATCCGAAGTCCGTTAGTCTCCACCACGTCAGGTTCGTGGTCAGTTGAAGGTCAAGTAAGGAAAAATTCATTGAATAAACCTAAAAATTCATATACATAAGGTTTTACATTCGCTGAACCCGAATCCGGGGTCCGTTAACCCCCATAATGTCAGCTTCGAGGTCATTTAAAGGTCAAATAGGACATGCAATTTATTCAATAAAAATTTAAAAAAAAAAATTGTTTTTGTTGTCACTGAAATCGAGTATGGAGGTCCCTTGATTCCTCAAGGTCATCTGGAGGTCATGACAAGGTCATCCCAAGGTCAAATTCCGATGAATTTTATTGAATTTTCAGGTTTATTCAATGAATTTTTCCCTACTTGACCTTCAAATGACCACGAACCTGACGTGATGGAGACTAACGGACCTCGGCTTCGCATTCAGCATGTGGAATAACATAGGGATATATAGGTTTGGTTTAATATGCATTCACTTTTTTTTTTTGTAAACCTGTGATATTAATCGTGGTGTGGTGATATTCCATGGATTTGTTTTTCAGACAAACAATTTTACGTTCCAAAAATGTTCACCTTCTCTATCTATCTAAGTTCTCTGCTATGGTATGCGATTTGACAAAGCTTCTGCTATTTTTCAAAGTTGCATAGGTACTGGTACACGGCATAATGAATTCCATCAGATCAGACTTAAGGACTGAATATACAGCCCGCGACGAAACGATGGCACCTCACAAATTTGAACAGGTTTGACTATTTATTTATTTTTTTTGTTTAATGTTCACTGTTTTTATATTAAATTGCAGTTCTTTATCTAACGAATACCATATAAATCCAAATTTCAGACTTTATACAAAAATTCCTAAAACTTTTCATCCCAATTCCAAGCATTTTAACTTAATTTTTTGGAAAAAATGTTTGGTATAGAGCTTTATAGCTTATTAAATTCTAGTACAATAAAGTGCAAGTATGAATTTTCAAAAAAATTGATTTTTAATAATTTTTTTTTGCTGAAGGTATCACATATTTTCTTCCATACAAAGTAATTTTTATATGGAAAAAGCATAGCTGTTAAATTTCGATAAGGATAAGTAACATTATGATTATTTGTCATTGGTAATTTTAATGATTATTTTAATTTCCTTGTTGTTGTAGGCTAGTCGATCCATTATTTTCGTGTGCAAGAAAACCACTTTTTTCTTCACGTTTTGCCCAACGTTTCGCTAATCACCTTAGCATCTTCAGGGGCGCATCTTTATTTACATAGACTTCAACAAGAAACAAAGAACAATGTTATCGACAAATATTGATATATGTATGTACATAATTACAACAAGTAAGAAAGTATAAGTTCGGGTGGAGCCGAACATTAAATACCCGGCGCAAGTATTAAATATATGTTTTTTTCACCTTTCCAAAAGCTACCGCTAGATGGTAAGCCGGGGTGTATCAATTTTGAGTAAATTAGCGTCCTTTAATTTCGAAATATTGAAGTTTCAAGCATTTCTGAAATTTACCGTTATATGAAAAGCGGACGTAATTTTAGTCCGATTTCAATAATTTTCAACGTTTTGTTTATATGTGGCAAGCACAATAACCACACCGAGTTTGGTATAAATTGGTAGAACGGTTACCGATATACATATATGTGATCATAAGTGGGCGCTGCCACGCCCATTTTCAAAAATTTTACCATAAACGTATTTCTTGGTAGAGAATTGTTGCAAGCATCAATTTTGAATAAATTAGCTTCAATATTTACTGATTTATCGAAGATTTTGTATTTCTTTAAATTACCGTTATATGGGATGTGGGCATGGTTATCGTCCGATTTTAAAAATTTTCGGCAATTTTTTATGCTGTACCAAGGCCAACAACTGTGCCAAGTTTGGTAGAAATTAGTGCAGCGGTTACCGAGATATACACATGTAACCATAAGTGGGCGTGGCTACGCCCATTTTCCAAAAATTTATAACACTCTTAGTTGTCGTCTAAAAATTGTTGTAAATATTAATTTTGAGTGAATAATCTTCAGTAGTTACTAAAATATCGCAGTTTTCGTATTTCTGGAAATTACCGTTATATGAGAAGTGGGCGTGGTTACAGTCCGATTTCGCCCATTTTCAATACCAACCTACTTTGGATTAAGGGAAACCTACATACCAAATTTCGTTGAGACATCTCAATTTTTGCTCGAGTTATCGTGTACACGGACGGACGGACAGACGGACAGACGGACAGACGGACGGACAGACGGACAGACGGACGGACAGACAGACATGGCTTAATCGATTTCTTTTTTCATCCTGATCATTTATGTATACATTTGTCTATATCTATCTCGATTCGTTTTGGCTGTTACAAACAACCGTTATGTGAACAAAATTAATATAC